TTCGAAAAAATACGACAAATTCCCTACAATCTTGACAAGAGTGATCTGACTTTGTAGAAATTAAAATTGAAAAAACTTAGAGGCTATCGATAGTTAATCTAACTTCCAAGTAGAAGTCAACTGCCGGTTAATAGACTTTTTTGCCGTATGAGTATACGTTTCCCAGGGTGCACCAAGTGGAGGTAAGTCTATCGCACAGTTGACTTCTGACTTCAAAATACCATGGCACGACTGCTTGTCATATTCGACCGCTTCTACAGTACTCATCTTACCCTTTTCTCTGCCTGTGTCTGTCTGCCTCTTTTACATCTGTGAATCGCTCTTCTGTTCCCCACCCCTCGACTTTCTGCTACTTTGATGAACCTTCCCTCTGTGAAGCCCGAAGTCAATTAAAGGGCTAATGATAGCTATCAAAACGCCTGCCATTTGAAATAAATAAACTTCAAAGTAGAAGTCTAATAGCAGCAAGTCTACTTGAGACAGACCAAAACACGAGCTACCAGTTTGAGAACAGAGAGGAACGGAAAATAGAAATGTAGGGACTAACAGACGAGGCGTGATAGATAGGCGATGAAGACTACACAGTAAATTCGAAGAGGATACAAATAGGCAAATTTTGAATTCCGCGGAAAATTAAGAGTTGAATTATTTTTCATAATACTAAAGTGTCAAGTAACGACGCAGTCTCCCTGTAGTGACCTATCTTGTGCCAATACACCAATTTGTCATGCCAACATCAGCAAAATTGCTATAGCACCAATCTATTAGTTCAGCAAATTGTCATTCACTATAGTTAGCACACATTTTTACATTTTTGCCGATTATCTATTGCTGCCTTACACAATTATGTCTGAAACTAAAATCTCATCACTGTTCCATGATTAGAAAAAAACCAACCTGTTGATCAATCAAACAGAGAAAAAGAATTTCGAAGTTTGAGAATCCAATCGTCACTCGAGCTATATAAATTTTAATTTTACATATTCCGGAAAATTTAGAAATTAGGGGTGTCGACATAAGTAAATAAATTGTGGCAAATAAAGCATAATCTTAAGGGTCAATAATTCTTTAACTAAAGGTAATAATTTCACTCTAGTTGTTGAAAATCAACAAACAAGCTCACCTGTTTCCTGATATCAGTCAAAATTTTCGACATATTGACCAGAAGTTTAAGAACATGCTCTCTTGAATGAGGCAGCGAGTTATAAACATATAAAGTTTTAGCGTCCTCCAGACTCTCCAGAGTAATTGTGTGCAATTGCGACATTGAAGCCGTGGCGTTCCAGTGGGGGTTAGCAGAAACTATGAGAGGAATAGTGCCTGTAGAACCTTTGACGAGGCTTTCAAGATTTGAGTATATTTCCGGAATGTCGCTCCCAAGAAGGAAGGCAGTGCTGAAAGATGAGATGTTCTGAGCATGGCTTAAAGCCAAGGCAAGTCTACAAGAGATGAAATACGGTAGATCAAGAGAAATTTCCACTAGAAGACCTTGAATTCACAGTCAATTTACCTCCTGCGGAAATCTTGCATGACGTAGGCTTTTGAGGTACCGACAATACCATCGTGATGCTGGAAAAGAGCCAAATGTCTACGAGCTTCAGTGAGTTTCTCGTAAAGAGCGATGAAGAGTGCGTCAGATTTCACAGTTGAAGGAGCCCAATGACGCGCCATGGAGAAAAGAATATCGGCATTTCTAAATGATCAATACAAATTCCACATAGGAAAGTACAAACCTCAAATGAAATAAAACGCGTAATGCACTGACCACTCTAGCTGCTTTTGTGACAGGCTTTCCAGGTTTCATCAGGTTAAGTATGAGTTTCACATAAATGTTCATGGATCTGCATGCCAACCCAAGTTATCAATTAATCGCTTCGAATAAAACACGCCCCCACTCTTTATGCGCGATATTACACGATGGGGATATGGTTTCAATATGCCTTAACCTCACCATGTCAAAAGAACATACTTGCATGTCTGTCAAGTCTAAAGGTCATGGGGGGGGGTTTTCAAACTCTCAAACTTGAGCTTTAAATCACTCCGTCACATTCACATTGGAAGAAACTCTAGACGGCTTACTGTTTGAAAAATTAAGCAGAAATCTTTTGAGTAAGTTAGATTCTTATTTCAACAAAAGTGCTGATATGGAGATTAAGATAAACTACACAACATTAAAAGAAGATAGCCAACTTAGAATTGCATTACTACTTGAAGTTCTTATTTGCCCCAAAATGTTTTCTAGAAAAATGAAATCGTAATGGAATGTTAATAAATACTCTCTAAGATAACATTAAGGCTGTAGCCGCTTAAAACCAACAGAAAGTAAAAGACGTAGGACTCAATATTAAGGAATCCTAACAGCTTAGCGCGCGCACACACACACAGTCCCTTTAAAAGTATAAAAGTTTGAAAAAGTACGTTGACAGTAAAAATGGGTGGCTGGAAATTCCCACCCTGCCACAACTCAGCGAAAAGTCGAAAAAGGTTGTTATAGAAAGTCTTTACAACCACACTCGCCCAATATTTGGTCACCGAGATCTCCAGATCTTAACCAGATAGACAATCGTACTTAATTTATCCCAACCACCATGTATGCCTTGGCTTTAGAAGATTGATTGGCTATAACGCAAGAAAAGAAGAGGCGTTATGGAACAACTTTGAAGGATGAAGTTGCGTTCAATAGAGGAATAAAATTCAATTTCACTCATAATCAGAAGGAAACAGATAATCCCGAGATATGTTAGTAGACCTCACATATACCCCCATGGGGGAACTTAGTAAAAAATAGGAACAATCAATCGAAATTACAAAATTTGCATATTGCTGAAAGAAATTGATAACATCAGCGTAACTTCTGTCGTCAAAACAATAATGTTAATTGAAAACACTCCAAAATATTAATGTTCCTCCAAACAAGTTACTCAGTTTTAACCAGTTGTTTCAAATAAAATAGGGGGCGTTTGAAAACCCAAATAACTTACCTAACTTCGGCCTCAACAACACGAGACATAGCCTTGTGAGATGGTCGACTTGTGAAGTAGCCATTCCAGAATTCATCGTCCTTGTCGGCATACGTATAAAAATCGCCTTGAAGAGTAGGGAATTCCTTCTTGGGTTTGCGTGAATTCACTAGTTGGAAGTATTCAGAGAGTGTACCAAAACGAATCTACAATCACAAACGAAGGTCACAAGTAATCACCATCCTATATAGCCTAAGCCCATTACAAAATCTGTTCTCCTACATTACGCTCCCGCATTTGACTGATGGAATGCATTTTGGACCATTGAAAAAATTTATTAAATTTGTTACTTAAATTTCCAGAAAAATAACCGATTTCTAAATATGCAGAACTTGGAAAATAGTACATGGGGCATTCGTCCACCTTACTCAAATGCATCTGAGTCAGGTTTAACAGTAGAATTATTTCAGTCGTCATCTAGTGATACCTTGATTTGCCAACCCCTCCGTATTGAGGCTTTCAGATTAATTGATGTACAATGTCATTACAACTCTAGCCGTGCATGAGAATAGAGCATTGCTCTTTCTAGACCCGATGAAATATTATAATAGTTGAAATTACCCCGTATCGTAAGATGAATCAAGAACTTCGTACAAAGGGATAATTAGATATAGCTTTCTATAAAAATTTTACAAGTATTATTATTCAAGGGTGTCAAAAAGAAAAAGTCGTTCCAATATGTAGTGAGAGGATATATGTATGTAAATCCCTAAATATTTTTCAATAATGCAATTAACATTTAGGCTGACTTTTACTCCAATTAGCATAAACGTAACAATTGAGCTTCGTATATATATATATATATATATATATAGGACATGTAGCGATTTGGGCTATTGCTGAGATATCGATCAATGCCATCTAAGAAAGGACTATGACCAAAATTGCTCAGATCCAGTAGAAAGAAAACAACACATCCAGTTCCACAATGACTTAAAATGAGCAGACGTCCACATGCGGCTAAAAGGAATTGGCCAAATACCCGGTTAGTCTGCAACGCAACATTGAGACCACATTGCTAATTATAAGCGTAGAAAAGAAGGAATCTATTCAGGAGAAATGAGAATATTTCCTGATGTTTCTATTTTATTAACTCGTTTGTGGTTATACACTATCCTAATTAATAAATCAATATGGCGCGTATTTATGCCAACAATCTTAAATCAGAAAAACCAGCAATCAATAAATTATATTGATAAAAATAAGCATATTCCGGCAGAATAGAGAGAGAAATAAGTAGAATTTTGTGTATAACCTGATTGACTCACATGCATACGGTAAGATCGTAAGCCATTGATGTGTCTCATTAGCATTTCATAGTTAGACACTTGCAACTCCCACTCTTCAGGGGTTAGCCAACGGAAATCATCGCCGAGTGTCACCAGAAGAACTCCATTATTGTTGTACAGCTTCGACTTCTTTCGATACTGCTCCACAAGCATCCTGGCCCTAGCGAATTAAAGTATACATGATAATACATTAGGACGATGAGAAAAACAAAATTGAACACAAGGTGGTATCAAATACTTCTTCAATTCAGATTTTGAATTTTGTGACGCAATCGAGAGGTGCGCGATAGACTTACCTCCACTTGGTGCATCCTAGGCAACATATGCTCATACAACAAAAAGTCCATAAACAGGCAGTTGACTTTTGACTTCAAACTACCATCAACCGACTGTATTTCATATTTGGCCACTTCTACAGTATTCCCCTTACATTTTTCTCTACCTTTGTGTCTGTCTGTCTCTTTTACATCTGTAAATCACTCTTCTGTTTACTCCTCTCGACATTTCGTGACTTTGATGTTGCTCACCTATTTGAAGCCCGAAAACAACTAAAGGGCTAATGATAAACATCATAAAGCGTATCATTTGATAAAAATAAATGACACCTTAGCTCGTAGGTAAACAATCTCTAGTCCTAATCAAACTCAATCAGGCAACCACTATAAATTCGGAAGAAAATTAAGAAACTTCCAAATTGTACAGATCTAAGACTGACATCTTCATAATTATGGATAAAATCGTGTTGCGGTGAGCCACTGCTAATAATCCTCAAAACAGTGAATCTTGGGTTGACCCAAACCAACAACCCAGAACCGAAAATAAGAATACTGGACAGTGCTTCAGTAAAGACAAAACTGCAAACATATAGTCAACCTAGATTGATTAGTTATATGCATGATTAATTCAGGTTTACAGATTTACCTATCAGCAACATTGTTCTTATCAATTATCTTCGGAGAAACATTCCAAGGGCAGCCGAGTGAAATTCGCATGAAGTCAAACTGACAACAAATTGCAGGATCGGGTCCGCAGGTATGCGGAATATCGTATGAAAAGAAGGGCAACATGTGAGTGAAAACTGCAGATTCACCAGTGGTATCTACGAAAGAAAGGGACAAATCAGTGCAAAGTAGTAGGAAAGATGCATGTATACCAATTCAAAAAGAACGATATTGATATTCACTATTTCTCATCTGGACAATATCTACTGATTATTACTGATTAATAGATGAGCGTTGAAATGGGTTATTTATAGCGAAATAAAACTTTTCTCTTGGAGGTCTTCGTGATCGCAAAATCAACAATCATACATTTATATAAGTAATTAATCATTTCTGCCGAAATGGAATCGTTAATTTAAGATATGAAATAACGGGAAAAACATCCAAAACAAATACTTAGCCGATATGACCAAAAAAAGGGAAATAGGTGGCATTACAAGATATAGACTAGTTTAATTAGAAATGATGAGTAACGAAAGATGACCAAGGAGAAAATAAAACTTGATATGTAGGAGTGAGAAAGAGTTTGAGTGAAAATAGATTAATTATAAATAAAGCAAATAGAAGATCAAGAAAGAAAAAATAAGTGGATTATGATAAAGAAAAGATTATTAAATCCACTATTCATATTCATATTCATAAAGCTTCTAGCTAACCTCATACCAATCTACGAAAGTCGTGTTTAGCATTGCCCACTTAATACCTGGAATGTAAATCAATCGGATCAGAGGTAGCATGAAGGCGGCTTACCCCATGGTTGTTTCCAAATAAATTCCAACTGCTTATTTTCAGCCAGGGACTTTTTGACTTCATAGTGTACACGATGAATGAGAATATCCTTGATACCTGCTTTAGCTAGAATATAAGCTTCTGTAGTGCTGTGGCCAAACACGTCTATCACCCAACTGACGTTAGCCAAGACACCTGAAAGAGAAAAATATAAAATACGTACCTAGCCAACTATTGTAATATAGGGGATTATGTACACACCTAGGTTGTCCAACAACCAGTGCTGGCCCTCAATGAGCTGGGAGACCGTGGCCCCGTAGTGAGTAAGAGCTTCGTCGTTCATTACCCAGCCACCGGTAGCAATTTCCCATTGGCCTTCCCGAACCAATCTGAAATAGGAATTTTGATAATTGCTATTCAACGAATAAAATAGGTGGACAACAATTGACCTATAACTAACTTAGTGAAAAGAGTTCGGACTGATGGAGCCAGAGTTTGCCACCACAAATCAAGAAAGGAAACCTCAGCGTAAATAAAACGAGAGGAGGGATTCTTGCCCAGGAAATCGACGGTGGAGTCAAAACCTTTACGAGACTGGGACTCGAAGTATTCATCAATTGTTCGTATCCAACCTGCGAAAAAGGTCAATTAAATCTACATATCCAAGTATAATCAGTATTGAACAGAAAATTACAACGTATCGGATTTATATAAACTTTAATGCTTACAATCCAGTAAGTTCGAGAGAAAATAAACATTTTGCTATTCCCCAAGTAAATAATATAGCAATTCGACATTTTAAAGAGCATATATAAAAGCAGCCTATATAAGGCCATAAAATTCTGGAATTAGGAAAAGACGAGTTTTACCAAAAAATACTATGACGCAAACTCTTTACTTAACGTAATTAAGGTGAAATAAAAATACTTCAAAACTATATACCATTAAGACCAGAAAGCTATACCCAAAAAGCGTTGAAATATACATTCGATGGTAAGTAGTGAAGAACTAACCTGTATCTTGATGAGAATGGGGTAAGATAATCACTTCTAACTCCTGAATGTCCTGATCTAAAGGATCATACGGGATTTCAAAGCCTTGTTTCCAGACACCACCATCCTTATTCTCAAATGGAATCCTATCATACAAGGAATCCATCTAAAGAACATAAACCCACGGTTAAAATATAATCAAACCAAAGATGTTATTGTTCTAAGAGTCTAACCTCTATATCGGCCCTTTGAGAATAAAGCTGATTAATGCATTTAGGAGGGAAATCCGGTCTGGAAATAAAACAGAGTAAAAGCAAGAAAATGGGTGGGAAAAATAAAGAAACGCAAAACAATAAACTACTCTGGTAAGTTTTCAAATGACCCATCAGATTTCCGTAATTCTTGAAAAGGATCCCATTGTTTATTCTTGAATTTTCCGAATTTCTCATCAAAATTGACCATGTTCGGATATTTATGAGTTTGATAAAAATATACCATAAATGTTATGACAAAGAAGGACCCAAATAATATGGAAATCCTTTTGATAGGTCCCCGCAGAAACATAGTTAAGGTATTATAGATATGAAGGCCATTATGAAGATAGACGACATAAATACCAAGGTCAATCTAATTCTTCTTCGATTAAATAGGATAATATAAACCATAAAGCAACCAAAATTAGCAAATCAAATTGTAATAATAATAATATGGTCTATTACAATAGGTAAATTTGTAGATGATCTATTATACATACAGAGTTTTAATTTAATTACTTAATTAATATGCTGACAGCCAACAATATCCTGGGAGTGTGGATAAATTAGCGCTATGTCACACCTTTAAAAATTTGTCATTATGATTTACCGAACAAAATTCTAAACTGTCTAACTTGCTGTATGAAGCATTAAGGACTTCGTACCCTATCATGGGTTGTCTTCGTAATGAAAGTGATTTGACATCTTTTAGTAATCAGCAAAATTTATTTTATTGGTAATCAACAAAAAAGTTCGTTCACCTAATATCGATCGAAAGTTATTGTTTTTAATGGCTCGGTCTTTTCGGTAAGAATGAAATGGAATTGTTATTGCATTGAAAGATTATTTTCGTAAATTCATTTTTTAAATTAACCATGTTTTTCTTACTTTCAATTCCTACATCATTCCACTTAATCGCAATATTAATAACATTATATGAAAGATGCTTTAAACTGCACATATAATTTTTTGATATTACATTCGCAATATCCCTGCATAAAAGGTCAATAAATAATTTTTTGGCTTTGATCCTTAGATTATGTTCACTGAAGAACTTGAAAAATTTCCTTAATCAAGGAAGTTAACTCATATGTGGGAATTTAAGGAGCATTTTAAGAATAGTTTATTTCTGTTCCTTAACTTTTGTTTTATAATCTTTAGCCAATTGGCAAGAAATATCCATTGTTTTATAACTGAATTACAAATTGTCGATTTCATATATGTATGGAGCGCAAATACATTGTGTAGATTCTGAAATTCAAAGGGCGTGCATTAGTATTTATATAGTTATTGCGTTCGCTACGTCAAATTTATAATTCTTCAGTACTCAATAAATTGGGTTTATTTTCCACAAATGAAATTAAAATGCTTTTCCTAGCAATACAGTGTCAGGGATCATAAAATATTAAAATTTAAATTGATTCAATTTCCAAAAGTCTATTTGCAATTTCAAAATGCAAGTGACTTGAGAATTTGGTGGGGACTAAACACGCTGTTTCGAAGATAGCAAATTGAAATTAATTTAATTAACGATTGCGCAAAAATAGTAACGTCACAGATTCGCCTACAGCAAATTTCTATGGCATGTATTAACGTAATAAGCTATACATATACTACATTTAGATAAAAGCGGTCGGCTCTAACTAAACAACTGTGGATGACCGATCCCTATGGCAATAAGCGTTGCTAATTTTTAAATAGAATGTTGAAAGTACCAGAGACCCTAATAACCACATACCAAGCCACTTATAAGGATCCGAAATGTGCACCTGAGTAAGTTGAAACGATGATTATATTTTGTAAAGTAATATGTGTAATTTTACAGCAGTCGAATGTGGATGCAGAGAAATTCACAAGGCCCCATGTACCAAATATTTCACGGACTATAGAAGTCATTTAAGAAAGACTCATCATCCATGCAAAGAAATTGAAGATTTCAACTTGACCGAATTATCTCCAAATCCCGAAAATGTGCTCAACAAAATGAATTGCACAAGAGATAGGTATTTAGATCAATTTCATGTCAGCTTGAACAATATTGATCATGCAAGATGTGCAGAATTATCTCAATTTATAAAAGTAATTGATAGTTTCTTTTTAAATTGATTTTTTTAGTTAGCTGAAAAGCACCGTGAATACTATCTTGACAGAACGGGGACAGTTTATCCAGTTCCCTATTTTTCAAGTGCAAAATATTGAACAATTTTTATTTGAAAATCATTTAAGTTATTGCATATTAATAACAAAGACAACTATACTGGAATGAGCCGTTTTAAAGTTAGATGTTTAAAGAAGAGAGCGAAAATTCAAGAAAAGAAAGTTGGTTTTGGATCATTCTTAAATGTTCACCGCCAGATTTTACTCAACAGTTACAGATTTTGCTAGATTTCTTGGGCAGTCGACCTAAATAAAATTAAATAATATATAAGATTTTACTAAGGTTTGGAAGCGAAAATCAATATCTTACATCAAGGCCCTTAAGTCTGGCAACATGGAAAGACAGAAGTTGAAGTGGAACTACAGCAAGGATGCTTTGGAGACAATCCACAGTTTTAGGAATTTCAATGATTTCCTTTGAAAGCTCCTTTAGATGAGAGTCAGGATTTTCATTCGTAATCAAAATCGGATTTCCGTGACGAGAATGGACCTCGTGCAAGGCGTTAAGGACTTTCTAGATGAAGAACATTAGTTATTGGTTAGCTAACTTAAGGATTCGAAAATAACAAATTGGGGGATCGAATCTAAGCGACAAATTGTTGTATCAACTAACCTCATACAGACGGTCCTTCATAACAATCATGATCACTCTCATGTCGGCGTCCACCATAGCCAAAGGACCGTGCTTCATTTCTCCCGACATTATTCCTTCAGCGTGAATGTAGGTCAGTTCCTTTAGTTTCTAATGAGAAAAGCATCAAACTTCAAGAGAGGTGTCTATGGTTAAGATTGAGTAAACTGAGATTATGCAAGGTCAATGAAACAGTTGAGCAAGATATAATTGAGCAGTGGGTAAAAAACACCAAATTAACCTATAGGAGAGCATTATCTACAACACTAAGACTAGGAAATCAAAGCATAGCATTACCTACATAAAGGGAACTCTAAAAAAATGGAGCCTCAAACAGAATGACCTAGTTCTAAAGTTGGAATAAATAAATGAAATAAAGAATACAAGTAATAAAGTGTTTGAATTTCTTGAATATGTTTTACAAGTTAGGATATTTGCAGATAAAATTGATTAAAAGTCTATAACAGGTATTTCTACTGCTTCATATTAATAGATAATCACACCGAATATCAATGTCTTTGTGACAATCTACATTTTTCCGCCCCTATTCTGCCCTACTGTAACACTCTTTAATGTTATTTTTAACTCTCGCCTACCCCCTACCCACGAACATTTCAACATAAATGCGTATAATTGACATTTAAGTGGGTGGGGGCGTCATGAACTAGAGCGATTATTATTCACAATCTCACCAGGCGATCGCAATGGCTGTATAAAGTAACCACCCTAACACGTGTTGGTCTTTCTAAGGTTTCTCTTCCTTGCCTGAAAGAAGGGCTAAACAGCGTCTGACAATCTGCGGATACTAACGAGAATTTCAAATGAGCTGTCAACGGCATATCAACTAAGTTAGACTTCTGGCTTAAGTATTCTCTCCTCATCCTCTTTTTACGTTCAGATACTTGCAGCCCCCTACTTCGTACATCTTTTCCAAAAAATATTCCTTTTCCACTCAGTCCACTTGCCTGCATTGTTTAGGTTTAACAACTGAGTGCTTTCTCAGTTAAGTTGAGACCTTCCTCTTCATTGCCACAGATATACCCTTGCAAAGACGGTGCAGGGCATTTCTATGGCATTGAATAATAAAACCTGTTTTAAAATAGATGTGAAATCTAGGAGGGCAGAATGAAAAGCTTACCAATGCGCCCTCTAGACACGTGGCAAAGTTATATCCACGACCCAGGACCAAAATGCTCTTGGCGTCAACAAAGTCCTTCGCAATTTCTACAATCGCTTCCTCTTTGCGCAGAATTGAATCAACTTGTTCTGGTAAACGACTCAGAGCTTCAACAATCTCCTTCCTTCGCTCTTGGAATGAAATTCGATCAGCAGAGAGGACCAAGGCGAACATTACCATAGCAATTATTTGACTGGTGTAGGCCTAAAAAACAGAAAGGATTTTTAAATGCACTATGGTTAGCAAGCGAGGTTAATGGGGAGACAAATATAAAACCTTGGTGCTAGCAACACCAATTTCAGGTCCCGCGTTCATGTGAATACCACAATGAGTTTCTCGGGAGAGTGTCGAACCAGCTGTATTTGTGATGCCAAGGCTCAAAGTTCCTCTCTTGAGGCAGTATCTCAGTGCCAGAAGTGTATCAGCAGTTTCACCTGATTGGCTGATAAAGATACACACATCATCCCGAAAAACAGGGGTTCGCCGATCAAGAAAATCACTCGCCAATTCAACCATCACGGGTAGTTCAGTCAACTCTTCGACAAGCTCACGAACAGCAATCGCAGCATTGTAGCTAGTTCCGCAGCCAATAAACATCAGACGTCGACTCCGTTTAATGTCCACAAGATGATTTTTAATGCCACCGAGAACAACCATTGCATCACTGAAATTGACACGTCCACGCATAGTGTTGAGAATTGACTCTGGTTGTTCAAAGATTTCCTTTTGCATGAAGTAATCATAGCTTCCTTTAAAGAGAAGAGGCAATATTAGTTGGTAAACTACTTGTGTTTACTTTAAAGAGATTGAGGAACTTTATCAAATGCACCTTTCATGATTTCTTTTATTTCAAGCCGCAGGGTGACCACATCACGTACAGACGGCTCGTTCTTCTTTTTGTTGATTCGATGAATGGAAAGTGTTCCTTCACGAACTGCAGCAATATCATTATCCTCCAAGTAAATAACACGATCCGTGTGCTCAACGATGGCACTTTAAAAGCAGAACAATTTTTAATTCACCAAAACCCTTAATCTAAATCGTCAAATGCTTATTTTATTTCAACCTTCACCATTTGTGCACCTGAACTCTTCAAAGCAGTTAGAGAAGGCTATCAAAGAGGACTAAGGGATTTATTTGCAATTTTTATTATGTCAGTCGCAAAAGCATATAATCTAGCTAGAATACGAAGTTATAGTTAGCTGAGTCATTGAAGTTACTAAAACCAAGACAAAAGAGATACCTCCAGGGCCATTACTCAAGATACCTACTAATATAATTTCACTTACTGGATTAAGAGCATTGTGGGAAGTTTGGTCTAAATAAGTCACTATCAAAGAACGTAATATAGATCAGGCGAGCTAATGTAAATAATGTAAAGTCTGTGGAAGTTGAAACAGTTGAATAAAAGACATAAATGATGAGTGGAAATGACCATCTTGTCGAAATGTTCAAACTTTCGTGGCTCTGTGAGAACAAGATGCCAAACTGACCATCCTTATTTGAATCTTCCATTGAAGTACTACCTGCGTTCTACTGTGAGGGCTTCCGTATAAGGACCTCAAAGGAGAATTCTATATAGAAACATGTTTGTAGTTTACACAGCTAATATACATCAATGCACTTAGATAATAATACCATAAACCAAATATTCTAATATCATTTCAACTTACAACTAAAATTTTAGCAAAAATTTATACAAGGGAGGAAAGAAAAGACAAATTCAAAGGGTTTGGACCGCTTTAAGATCAATTCTACTTTTAAAGTAAAACTCTATTGTAATTAGGACTTAGCCATTATCTAATATTTCTGATACAACTCAGCTTCGAAAGATGAAATGACTCGTTAATCAATGCAGTCTATACCCTCCCACGAATTAGAATGTATAATTGTGAGGATATATGCTTAAAAATAAGGCAAAGCGTTAGACTGTATGCCAATATTGTAGCAGTGAGTGGATTCTATTCTCCAACTACCCCTGTTAGATTTGGAACTCAATTATAATAGGATTTAACGCGAATATAAGAACAAATGACTGCGAAGCTAGAAATACCGTCAATCAGATTTGTTCTTCAGATGGAAGAATCAAAGTAGGCTCTAAGCACCGTAAAGTTCATACTTGATTGCCAGTAATTGAAGGTGTTCTTCTAATAAAGCGCGAATGTACCGATGGAATGAATGCAAAGATAACGACAAAAATGTCTAATTATCACACAGATGAGTGATCACTATTGACCTTTTCAAAGCTAAGACATATTGGTTGGGCTAGAATGCCTCAATTTGACAGTATGATACTATAAATAAATTTGTTTGGCATGAGTAACCTCTCAGCAAAACCAGGTGACAATCAGACATTGAAAACAGCAGAAATAGCCTCATAGGAAATTTTGTCACTAGAGCAATGCACAATTAACTAGTCTTCTCGTGTGGAAAGTGAATCACTCAATAGAACCAGACACCTTAAGATCTCTATATCTTTTCAACGATATGTCTCATTCCTTACTGGAAGCTTTTCCCCAAGTAAAATGGGCAAAAGTTCATTGAATAACAATACCAACATTAGTATAACTTCCATGGTCAAATTAAGTAAATGCCTTCAAGACCATGTCTCCTAGAAAACAAATTTTATGAAAATCATAGTGCTAATTCTTTAAATCTACTTATAGTAATAACTTAGTGAACAAACCTGGGATCAGAGGAGATGAAGAATTCAATATCCCTTTCTTCAGATTGGGCCGAGAGATGATAGTCAGGATTGCTTTGAGAAACGGGATTTATTCCCTCATCACCTTCATCCCCTCCAGCCATCTCCATCATATACTGCGAACCCCAGCGATCTGTTTGAGAAGTGAAAAGAAAACCAAAAAAAACAAACACTCCAAACTGGAGAACATAGAGGCCAATTAAGTAGTGTGCAGCATTACAGCACCAGAATTGAAAAAAATAACATTGGTGTAAACTAACAAAGTGGCGCAAAAATTACTGACTGCGGCCACACCAAGTACAAAACACTTACTACCCGATCGATCTTCATCTGAAAGAGCTAATATATAAAGTGTCAAACAGAGCGTACTTGTCAAAATTAAGCCATAAATCGATTTGGTATCAGTTATATATGAAATAACTAACCTTTCGAAGGATAAGAGATTGGAATCTGATCCATGGTGAGCATATGCCGGCTTTTAATGCCAAGAAGGAGTGGACTCCCTCGGCTATTGAAAAAAAATGGAACATAATACTAACAAATTTTAAATAGCTGTAATAAACTTATTTATTAAGTCAATTTCATGAAGATAGTAGTTAATCACACATTTGAAAAATAAACAGCTCAACATACCGTGTTGCAACGACTTCCCCTGGATAAAACCTACTCTTGCAAGCGAGAGCAAAAGATCCGTCCTAAAATAAAAGGTGCATTTAGCGGATGAATAAGACACTCTAGAGCTAAACAAAGCTCAGAATCTAAACTTTGGAAACATTCCATACAACTTTCACTGTCTGAATAAGTACAATGCTTTGAAATTTGACAAAGTTTCTAAGTGCAATGGAAGTTTTACAAAAGATTAGCCCTTCAAATAAATACGTCATGACTATTATTTAAACCCATTACTTAAGTACTACTTAAATTCAAAGTACGCCTACATAGAAAATTAAGCGATATGAAGTGTGATTTAAGAACTACGCAGTAAGGAGGGTAACTGAAATCACTTCGTAATACTTTAACTAGATATTGTCTAACCAAGTTGCATTACAGCAACGAAAATGAATTACGATTGAATTAGTGTAACAAATTTCTAGTAAACAAATACCTATTTTAGGACCTACCTTAAGAGTAAGTTGTAAGTCAATAAAAAATCTCATCAAATCAAAATTTAAGTTATTCATTTAAACGAACTCAAAGTTCCAGGGAGTCGAAAGCACATATTAAATTGTTGGCAGAAGGCATATTAGAGCCACCAAGGCGATCGATAAAAGCACATAATATTGTAGAAAAAATATTGAACAGAAAACTTGCTTTTCGTCGAAAAAAGTGAGAGGAGCAATTACAAGTAATTGGTTGGTCTAATAATCTAAGTCATTTTTACCCCCCCCCCCCCCCCCCCTTCCCCCNTTTTTTCCCCCCCCCCCCCCACTCCATTCCTCGTATATCTAACACAGTGACATTGTATAAGATAAAAGTACAGATGGACTATCAAGCATCATTCCACCTTGAAGTGCAAATTAAAGTTTACTCACTATCTCACGAATAGTTTCTTCGACAAGTTGCTCAAACGTTATCTTTCGGAAGCCTCCTTTAAGTTCATAGAGATGAAGCATCAATTTTGGGATGACTTCTGTATCAGTGTCCGTTTCAAACTTGATTCCTTTCCGTTCCTAACAAGGACAGAACAATAGGCAATAATTAAAAGACACTTGCCAGTCTCTTAAAATGGTGCAACTTAGACAAATACATACTAGAACTGAGCGCAAATCCTTAAAGTTGGTTATAATCCCATTATGAACCACAGTGAATGCATGAGTTTTGTCAGATGATTGGGGATGTGCATTAGACTCATTGGGTTTTCCATGAGTTGCCCATCGAGTATGAGCAATTCCAACGTGAGTATTAAAAATTGGGTTATCCCGCCTCTCATTAAGAACCCCTGGATAAAAATATACAAGAATTCAATTATATGATCTTACTATTAACAGCTTTGCTTAACTCTTCAACTTTTCCAGGACGTCTTATGACAAGAACTTCAGTGGCGTCGCACTTATCCTTGACAGAATCACCGTTGCAATCGGGACAGTTTTCGTCAATTGCAATGCCAGCTGAATCATAGCCACGATATTCAAGACGGCGAAGACCATTGATGAGAATATCACTAATTTGATTCCGCGTAACCGGAGTTTTGTAATTCAAATAAGCAAATATCCCTTTAATAGAATATTAAGGGCGGTAACTATATTAAGGAATGAATGTGCAACACATAACACATCAAAGAAAGTTGCAAATAACATTAGATTGTAGTGATATCAATATCAAAATGTAAAAATGTCAGATTTTGGAACCTAGTTTATAAAGAATGAAAGGGTAGGCCGAAAATTATATGGAAATGATCAAATAAATATAAATATGTAAACATTCTACTCGTTTGGCTTACCACACATAATAGAACAGAGAAAGTACACGCGTAATAAGTGCGGCCTTGACGTTGAAACAAAATTGAAGATAACAAACAAAATAATCTAAGTAGACCAAAAGCCAAATACTTATAAGAAAGATTCAAGTTTTTAACCTTAGGGAGTATGTAATACCTAGAAAAGCGAATTTAGTCCTAATATTGTATTTAAACTGAACTTATCTTTATCTTAATGGGATTAGCACGGCTTCGATATTTTGTATGAAGATGACAAGCAACTATTTTATTGATACAAACGTGGTGGCCTTTTGTCGACAAATTATCCGTTTTATTTTTAAGTTTTCAAAATTTTATTTATTTAACTACTATCAGAAGCGTTTGGTATGCCATTTGTTAAATTAAACGGAAAAGGCAAATATAACATTACGAGTAAATATTTCATAACAATACGGCTGGACTTTATGACTTTATGAGATCAAATTTAAAATATGTTCAGATCCTAAAAATAAATGGTTGTAAAATGCATTATAAATATTTTCAATCCGAAATTAATTGCTAACTGAAGTAGATTAATACTTAACTATAAACCATCTGAAGATACTAACATTAAGATACGCAACCATTCCTATTTCACTTGAAAGTACCATCTTGATGAATGTGGTTATCTACAGAGTATTAAATAACAGCTTTACTTCAAGTTGTTAAAACGTTTTTTTTTGAACTAAATGTGCTACCTTCTTTAGATTCTCGACCCGATCGAACTTGGTGACAATAGCCTAGAGAGTAACGCTCAGATCCTTTTCAATTTTGCTGGGAAAGCAACATCAAATATCTGTGCCACTGGAATATTGGAGACCACGCATACAAAGATATTTCAGTATTTTACCCAACAATTCTGAAAGCCACTTCTTTAAATTCATTCTTTCATCACCATTCAGAAAATGTTTCGCATTTCTGGAAGTACTATCGACATCTTCGTGGGACTTGATAATTTGCTGGGAGAGGTTATATATCACTGATTGAGTGTGAGGTGGTGTGTCTTGGCAGGGTAGAGAAAATATTTACCGTTTTTTGCTAATATTTCTGTTAGTTTTTCTGAGTCTTCTAAATTGTTGGTGGAGGGTTTAAAACCATTCGGAAGCAAAAAGTAAAGCGTCTATATAATTGAAATGTGCTATCGTTTCATACTCACAAAAACGTGAATGATGTTTGGGTTGTAATAGTAAAGTTCTAAGATAAACTGAGCTATGTAGATTTAAATTAATTAGCACTATCTGCTAAGTCTACTGAAGGGAATATTACCTAATTTATAATATATTTCTACTATTTAAGAATACTACTAAAATATATTTCAAAAGACAATTTATAAAATATTTGAAAGGTTCGTTTTTATTTGGATTAAAAACACCGACAGCTCATTGGCCAACAGTTAATCATTTAATCACTTAAATGATTTATCTATAATCAAATTGCTTCTACTATTGTATGCCTAAACATGAATGATAAATTTTCCCTTTTAACTAAAAAACATAAGTTGTATTTCGTTAAAGCAACATTGTTTAATGCACTTTAACATTTCGAGGAGCTAAGGCGATTACGAATAAACTAACACTTGGCAACTGCCACGAAATCTGCAGCAAAAAATTTTAAATTCGAGGAAGCAAATAAGCAAAATTTGATGATTTGAAAATGGGGTTTGAGAATAGGACTGTGAATGAGAGGAAAGCAACTCCTGCATTTGTTGGGGGAAGTAGATGTTGCGGATGGAATAATTTACCTTAGTGGAATTCTTTGATTAGATTTTGGTATCAAAACGCCTCCGTGAAAACAAGAAAGAGGAAAACGGGTTAGCAATCTGAACCCGTGTTTAATAGGAAAACATACTTTAAATAACAAAACTAATTAACATACTGAGTAAAAACATGAGGGAAATTTATTTCCAGGACTTCAAAACTTTAAAAATTTTGGTTTACTTCCACTGATGCTCAAAAAATGGAGATGAAAACACTGCATAAGAGTGCATAAATGGAGTTTTCATTAGCCTCTTTAGCATTTAGGGCATAATCGAATACTTATGAGGGAAATTTGACGATTCAAGTGATGTGCTTGTTGATCTTTCACGTCAACTCAGGCCCGTGATGACGTTCAGGGTTTTTATCATCTCATAGTCAAAAGAAAGCTGAGTTCTATTTCATTATCTACCCACCCACGAAAATGATCACTATATTAAAATAAAACTACCATATTTTGGAAAGGCAAAAATTGATTTATCCTTTTATGGAAATTTTAATTGCTTTGGCCTATTTTTATCTACATAAAATTTTGTGAATTTTTAGGTGTCGGCGCAAATATGGTGCTATATGAATAGCTGTGGTTGGTGCATGTAATTCGTGCTCCTGTGGTAGTGTTGGTATCTCTCTCACAGCAACGATGAAGATGGTGACTAATGGCGAATGAGGGCTCTTGAGAGGATTAACTAGAGAGTCCTTTATGTGACTGAATATTGCGTTGTAAAAAACAAAACTCTAATAAAAGCTGTCAGGAATCTTATAACACTTTTAATGCATTCAAGGAAATTTTATAACATGCTTTTTAGATTTTATATTTTCTAAAATGAATAAAAGACATTCGGACACATATTTCTGCTAATAGCCGTTATTTCCCTATTCTTCCAGTTCGATTTTAATCTAACTAATTTTTATATTTTAAAGTTACAAAGCATGAACGAACAAAGGTGTTCTATACTTACATCAGTGTATATTAAAACTAAGTTTCCAGTGCTTGCTTAATCAATGAGCTATTGTTAAGCACTAATGCTCTTCAGTGTGTACATTCTTCTCTCTGCAATCTCATCGATTCAAAAGGGGATTATAGTTTCCAGAATAAATTGGAAACATTACTTACACACATTGATTACCATTCCATCGTATTAAAAGCAAAGAGGCTTTTACTAAATGCATTTGTCTGAATTCCCAAGATTCAATTATAGAAATAGAGTAATAGTAAGCCCAAAATTACTATGGAGTCAAAGTTATCCAGCAGAGAACACTTACGAGATAAGGCAATAGTAAGTCCCCATTAATTTCAATTAAGAAAAGCACATACTTTGCAATTACACCCACACAAAGCGTGTAAAAAGTGTAAAATTCAAATGCCATGAATTCCACTATAAAACGTTTTTTATACTTGTCAGATGAGAGTAGTTAAGATATAGCCAAAACAGTTAGAAAAAACGCTTTCCGCTCCCATTGTAAAGAGCAAATTTTAAATTAATATTAGATGAAAGGCGCAACTAAGGATTAATCAGAAAGCCATTAAGGAATTATGCATATTTAGTAATTTTAACAATATAATGAGACCCTATTATGACAATTCAATACGAATAAAATGAAATTTCCTTTAAATCTGGTTGATAAATATGAACTTTTCCTTTACTTGGTAAATCGACATTTGACGAAAACTTTGTAGGGGTATTATTTAAGATACAATATAAAAACATTGCATGAAAATAGCTTTAATTCTGGTAATGACAGCAGGCACTTCAAAACAAGCGGCTTAATTGCACATCTACACTTAAACACAGTCAAACACATATGAATCGTGTTATGATTGATTTGTTACTAAATTACACTGTTTTTCCAGTCAACCACGAATTGCCTGCTAATTACCCCATTTTACGATTTAGTAGGACGGTCATATTAATGTCCCGACTTTATATAAAATATTTTCCCGCCTCCATATGCTAGGAATCAACTTGCTCACTAGGTAATCCTGTGCGAAATTTCATTCAATGATAAAATTTCATAAGAAAAATGGATTTTCACGATATTCTTCGTTATTGGAGAAATGTATGGCTCTGGTAAAATACTAGAATTGTACTCGTAAAAAAGCTATATAAGCCAGAGCTAAATGAATGAAATGAGCCTAATAATTCATGTCTCTAGATCATTAAGAGATGGCAGGGAAGGCATTCATTTTTATAAACAATTTATTTTATATGTGAGACCAACATTCGCTAGGCGTCAGCCATATCTCGTAGTCGCTATTTCAGCATGATTAACTATCGAAATAAACCACTTCTAATGCAAACAGATGTAAACAAATCTGTTGGCTGTTGCACCTGTATTATAGTCTAGTCACATGGCAAGACTTATATACAGTGTCGTGGTCTGATTAATGCTAATATCAGCGAAATTTCAAATATTAAAACTTAATTAGTATATCGATCAAGATTAAACCAGAACAAATGAAAGACGTAGGAGAAATAAACAATAATTTCGTATGAATTTTTTTAAGTAAGTATTTTGATATGTTGAATTTAAATTCTAACTAAAGGTTTTAGTCAATATATAGGTAAAAGCAATGAATTTTAATATTTTAAACTTATTTTTTGCGAAAAATTAACAACTAAAATATTCTCAAAATTATATTGATTGTTCTAAATGACTTGGCAAGTACCCGCAAATTCCAATTCACTCATCTGTCTAGGTCGCGTGGGGAATGTCTGGGTTTGAAAGCTTGGGAATTACTCCCTCATTGGCTCATTGCTGCACATCATTACAATGGAAATCTCCTATGCCGATTCAGGCCTCAGCAATTCCACCGGCGCTAAAAGGTAATTTACTATTATGCTTAAGACAATTTTTGTAGGGAATGATATAATTGGGACGTCGGAGACGGGATCTGGTAAAACGGGTGCATTTCTTCTCCCCATTCTTCAGGTTAGTAGATAAGACAATTATGTATGATTTGCTAGAATTGGTTGAGTTTGGGACGTCCTAAAGGTTTTGCCCTCATTCTTGCCCCTACTCGTGAGTTGTCGCTACAAATAGCTGAGACCGCCGAGGATATTATGAGCAATTTTATGGAGGATAGCGGACAGGAGAAAAATCCACTTGTGGTATTCCGTTTAATTGGTGGAGAAAGTGCTGTTGATCAGGCAATTGCCCTTGCTTGGTGTAGGCATCACTTTATTGTTGGTAGGCGTTTTTGTTGTTTAAAATAGGCACGTATGACCTTTTTGTATATTTTAGCAACTCCTGGCCGGCTAGCGGAACATATCAAACAGTCTGACGGTTTTGCTCGTCATCATTTATCGACAATTAAGCACTTGGTTTTGGACGAAGCCGATCGTATGCTTAGTCTAGAATTTGCCGATGATTTGGATCTTCTGTTGAATCTCTTTCAGCGTCCTGGTGTTGCTAAGGCAAGTAAGACCTTCCTTTCAAAACTTGCCAATGTGTTAGCAGAAACAAATCCGGAAGAAAAGGAGAAGGGTACGTTTGAATCTTTTACTTTATATTGATTGTGATAAAAAGATTTTGTGAAATTCCTACTTTTAATATGTCACATTTTGCATTGCTGATTTTCTTTTTCATTTTATTGTTATTTTCCGTCACGAAACGATCAAATCTTACATCGAAGCCTCTAAATTTAGTGTTTTTTAACTTGAAACTATTTTATTACTAATTACTATTCTGCAGCCTAGCTTTAAAATGGTCAATAGTCTAGTATCTTTTCATCGGTGAATTTTTGGAGATGTGAATGACCAATCACTGGTCATTGATTATCTTCTTCGCCTGTGATCAAGATAGTCGTGACTTTTGGTTTTAGATTTAAAGGTCTACTCTACGCTTTGCCAAAATAATGTTTTAATCGCAGCCTCTATGACCTACATTTTATTCGTATTCCAACTCCGATTTGTCATAACTGTTCCAGTTTATCAATTATCAATGTTTCGTTAATCTTCGCAAGGGTCCTTGTCCAACTTACCCATTCGCTTCCTTTAATTTAATCTTCCTTTCCTAATTTTTGTTCTTTTGGCAGAACCTACAATCGGAATGAAGAATACTAAGTTCCCTCATCCACAAACCTATCTCTTTACCGCAACAATGAGCAAAGATATTCGAAACCTCCGTCGTGTGGCGTTGCGCAAAGATGCCGTTCTTTGTAGTGCCAGTATGGCTACTTCCATGAACGATCATTCAAGTTCCAACAAGCCGCAGTCAATAAATGTCGATTTGCCCGCTGGTCTGAGCCATTATTGTCTTCCCGTCCGCAGATCTGACAAATTGGCAGTACTCGATTGGATTCTGGAAAGCACCAAAGGGGAAGTCGATAATCAGACTATTGTCTTCTGTTCTCGTTGCCATGAGGCTAAATTTGTAGCTGGCTGTCTGATGGAGCGAGGTTATCGTGCTCTAGCGTTAACAGGAAGAATGAAACAACCTGTACGAAAACGTGTTCTGGCAGAATTTGTGGCTGGTAAAGTGAATGTCTTAGTGGCAACAGATGTGGCCGGACGGTAAGTTCGGTTTAGTATTATTGTCTATTAAAAGCATAAAAGTTAAAACTCGTTTTCATTTCTCAGTGGGTTGGATCTGCCATTAGTGTCCTTGGTAGTAAATTACGGCGTTCCTCTAACGGTGAAGTCCTATCGTCATCGTGTTGGTCGTACTGCTCGGGCTGGTCGTAGCGGTACCGCTGTTACCATAGTAACGAGAGATGATGGCAAGGAATATTTGGAATTAGAATCAAAGCTCTTGCCTCCCTTACCAGGTAGCGAAGAACGTCGCTCTCTTTCGCGCTGGCCACATCCGATTCCTCCAGAGAAGTCGAAGAAGTCTAAAGGAGGCGAGATTGTGGGTATGGAGAAGAGGAGACGTCTGGTTGGCGAGGCTTGGACACGGGCAGCTAAGGTATTTTTCATTTTTCAACTTAAATCTTTCCATATATTAATTTCAGAACTTTTGAAGTTCTCTATCCGTGTGTTAATGGTATACTTTAACGAGTTCTTTCTCTCGGGTGGTGGGAGCGGGGGGTTGAAGTGGGACTTATGCTCTAACACCTCTAACGGCGCTTATTGTGACTAGCTTAAGTTGAAGTTCAGGACAGACTGGGATGTCGTAGTTGTTTGGTGTACTGTGTAGCAAAGTGTTGCTAAGCAAAAGAGGGAGGGTGGTGTATTTGTAGATAGATGGACCCATTGAATTTAGCTTCGTGTCTTTCGCTTATAAATGTTTTTCCTCTCAATCGTACACGTGGTAAAGTTGTAGAGACTCCAGAGAGGGAATGTAAGAAAGTACTTAGACATGATTAGTCTAGTGACCAGACGTGAACAACTTAATTTTTGGAATTAAGATTCTGTATACATGAATCGGGCTTGCTTAGAGCTTGAATTAATCCTTCATAGTTAAATGTGACAATATGTGATTGAGTAGACAACGAGACAATTATTACCCTCAATATCTATCAAGCGCGAATGATGTGTAGATTAATTTAAGTGCACTGCCAGCACTATCCTGGTGTCGGGCCTCAATTCTGCCGTCTTTTGCTGCTGCTTTTCGAGCGAGCCTTATAGAGGCTAGACCTAGCGTAATGGCTTCCTTGATAAAACTATTCGCATTCATTTAGCAACTTCTTGTTCCACTGTTTTCACTGGAATTCAAATTTTCTGACAGCCGGATTCTCAATAGGAGCCCATTGAGCCATATGCCATGTCTCTGCGATGTCGTTTTACAAAACCCGGCCACTATGCTCCTACTAAGGAGAGCATCATTTCCATTGTTATCAGATGCCAATACTATTTTGTAAGGGTTGTTACAGGGGATCAATTCACCGAGTATCTCAATTGGCTTTGTTTTGTTATAATCATTTGTGTATGTTGTTGTTCTGTGGGAATTGAAGTCGTTTCTATTTCTGATCTATCTGCTTTAGTTTGTGACCTAAGATATGGAAAATTCGCCAATGTACATCTTTTACAGCAACTATGCCATTTTCAATGTTATAAGTACTTTCAATCTTCTTCTAGGTGATGCGTGAAGAAGCAGCTAAAAAAGCTATGGAACGTCACGCAGAGGGAAATTCCTCTGATTCCTCTGAAGCTGAGATCGACGGTATTGTCAATGATGATTTCGATGACCTTGAAACGGAAGATCTGTCAAAGCAGCATTGGGCCAGTGGTGCTGCTGGTATAGCAGCCTATCGTGAGGCGAAGAGGCGAATGAAACTTCAGAAAATGGCCAAATTGAGAGACAGAGAGTCTGATGGTGAAGGTGCAGAAGATGGCTATGAAGAAAAGATGTCGGATGATAGTGAAGACGATGAAGAGAGAGGAAATCTTCGATTTGATCAGCCGATCAAAGAGCGGCGGGCCAAAAAGAGGAAAGCCATGGTGGCTTCTGTTAAAGACAAGAAAAAGAAACAAATGTCTGGAGCGTTCTGAGAGAGATTATTGACTTCTTTTTACATGCGTGTATATATTTTTATGAGAATAAAATATTAAATTTACAGGATAGAGAGAAAACTACTATCCTTTGATAACATGGGGGTAGTAAAGAGAAAGCAGTCTTTCTGAAATGTTCGTAGAATACAAAAGTTGGATTTGCTTAATTCCTGAAGATCTATAATGTACCCAGAAGTAATGGAATGTGCAGTATCTTGAGCAACTTCCTGAGTCTGAGAAATATTTTTCAAGTGAGTGGTCTAAGGATCACGCAGTACCAACAGAGTAAGAGTGGCAGTGACCAATGACAAAATGACAATTAGAGCATGAAACCGGATTTGGTCAAATGAGATATTGGGCAATGAGGAACGTTGAGGATCGGCTTGAGCACACATTGAAGTATTTGCCAGTTAATCGAATTTCATTTTTGAAATGAATATAGTCATACACTATTCATAAACCTAGTGAATATATCCTCTGATCGCATTAGATCTAAGGATCGTCCAGTTCCAGGCGTATTAATAGCTAATGGGATATGATGAAGGTTTCATTATTTTGAAATACCCACCTCTTATTTAAAGCGGTTTCCATACGTCTTAATATAGTTCATTAAATAGGCAAAAAAGGAGTAAATTAGAGCAACAGAGTTGAATCAAGGTAGATAATGCATTGAATACAGATGGGGAGATTGCGGGCTACTACATTGCAATGGAATCACTACAAGGTGGCTCAAGAGGCATTAATGCGTACGCAGGTGAGAGGTAGTGACCCCTAAAAGAGCTTAGTTGTCGTTTTTTTATTCAACACTTCTCGAATTAGCAGGTGCCAATGCTATCCTAGTTTGCTTGTGTGTCGCAAATGACTTTGATGTAGCTGCCAACATTACTGGTAGGGCCTTCCATGAATGCCTCAGAAACGTGTTGGTTAGTTGAACTCAGATTACCTAGAACAAGGAATCAATAGTCGAAAAATGACTGCATGAGAGTGGGAGTAGCAGACGTAGGAATAAAGCAAATATATTTCTGGGGTGATGGAATGAATTAATATCTATCAGTGCATGCAATGATATTAGAGATGTGGACAATAGTAAAGTTGAAAATCAATCACGTGGTTTTTCATATTTTCTAAATCTTTGATGTAATTACAATATGATGATTCTAATCTAAGTAGTGACGATGGTGGAGAAACTGAGGTTAATAGTCGTCAGCATTTACAAGGTTGATTTCATCGTCGAAGAGACAGCCGAAGTTGAAATAATTCAAGCTGGAAGATGCTTGGAGCCTTGGAATTAGAATGTGTGTCGATGGCCTGTGCATGACATTCGGTGATTTTAGTACCGTGAAAGAGATGATGGGATAAAGCCAGGGAAACCTAGATAAGTATGGTATACAAATGGTAATACGTAAAATAGTGTGGATGGTAAAGAGGAAATGGTTGCAATAAATGACAAGTTAGTTGTGATTACATCTAGAGAATCGGCTCATGAGCAACTATTCCGATTGACCCATTCTAGTTTGTACACAAATATTTATATTTATTTATTTATATCAAGTGGCAGGCGTCTTGATGGTTATCATTAGCCCTTTAGTTGACTTCAGACTTCACAGAGGGGAAGGAACATCAAAGTGAAAAAAGTCGAGAGGGGGGGGGAACAGAGGAGTGTTTCAAAGATGTAAAAGAGACAGACACAAAGGTAGAAAAAAGGTGAGGTGAGTACTGTGCAAATAGTCGAATATGGCATAGAGTGGGGGGTGGTAGTTTGAAGTCAGAAGTCAACTGCCAGTTAATAGACTTTTTTGCTGTATGTGTATACGTTGCCCAGGGTGCACCACGTGGAGGTAAATCTATCGTACACCCCTTATACACAAATATTGAGATCTTCATAAGGAACTTCCACTTTCGCACCCAATCAGAGAAAGAGAGGCTTAAATCGCACCTCATTGATCCAGGAAAGCTATGTTTTGTGATGGTAATAATTCTAGAAAATCCCAAGGGGACTTCGACTGAAAATGGTAACGTGCTGAGCTACCAAGCTTTGCGAAAAATAAAGCGTCACAAGCTTGATCGACCATGGG